TCAGCGGTCCTGGGGAGCGCAGAGACAATCAGCAGCAAGCAATGGCAGCCTGCGGGTAGCAGTTGACCACGAAAAAACACATCCCCAATCCCAAAATCGCGGATTCACCGAGGATTCGAAGATCGGCCAAAGATTTCGGGGTATGTTTTGCGTTCGTCGTCGTCGCCCTGATAAAACCCTACCCCAAAATCTCCCTCCCCGAAGTCTCGAGGAGCCTGCATTTTGTCTTGGCCCTCGCGTTTTTGGGATTGGGCATCTGTTTTGACTTAGTGAGCAGTGAGCAACCAGCAGCAGCAGCAGCAGCAAGCGCCAACAGGTGCTGAAAGCGGCAATGGTGAGGCGAGCACGACGCGGGCAGCCCTGCGAAGTCCGTCGACCCCCTCGGGAGGGGGCACTGGGCTGCGCGGGAGTCGAGCTGGCCCTCTGCGAAGCGGGTACCTCGTGACATCTCTCTCTCTCTCTTTCTATCTTGTCGTGCTTCCTGTCTCTCCTGTCCCTCCAGCCCTCGCTGCACTTTGCTACCTGCCGAAGGGGCGTGAAGGCCAGAAGCAGACACCCAGGGGGAAAGACTGCCCCAAATTACCGTGAGGAGTTTTGCTTATTAGTGTGTTGCGGCGGCGGCCCCAGGCTGATAGCGTGTCGCGAGACCAGAAGCTGGGAACAGAAAGGCTCATGATTGGGGGCTGGAACGTGCGGAGTGCGGTGGGCCAGATTCCGCGGCGCGACCCGCTGAGCAGGCGCTGCTGCTTCCTGACCGCACGCACGGCCCAAGAGGGCCCGAGCAGCCCCCCCAAAAGAGGGACCGTGAGATGCTCGGCGCGTCGCGCCGCAGCGTGGTGGTCCAGGACCGTCGGCGCGACACGCTGGGCAACTGATTCCCGACCAGACAGCTGAAGTGGCCTCTGGCTCCACGGGCCTCGAGCGTCGAGCTGGCGCCACTGCGCGGACCCCCGGAAGCCCGACCCCTTCTCCGAGGCCGACGTGCCATCCCGAGCCGTCTTCTGAGGGTCCCCGGGGCCAGGCGACGGCGCCCGGAGGCCGAAGGCGTCGAGGAAGCTCCGCCCTGTCTGCGTCTTTCCGCAGGACGCTGGATGCCCTGACCGCACGGCCCAGGAGGGCCCGAGAACCGAGGGAACTTGCCACCCTACAGAGAATGAAGGGGCCCTGGGACACACAAATAAATACACACAAATAAAAGGATTCCCCATATTTTCCTATATTTTCTGTGTTTTTGTCTTCCCCCCCACTTCCCATAGTTTCCCATGTTTTCTGGAGAATCGACGATTAATTGTGTCTGTGCGACTTCTCCCCTCCTGAGAGAAGCGGAACGCGCCGGGGGCGAGAGCACCGCTCGGAACGACGGGAGCACAGTGGCCGATGCCGAAGCGAGGCCCGCGCTGCAGCGGGAACGCCACTCTGAAGCGCTGAGAACGTTCCGCTCTTGGAGGCCTCCTAGGTGGGGTCGGAGTAGATGTGGTCGGAGGATCGCGCCACATGGCCGACGCCTCGGCGATGCATCTGGGATGCACTGGCGATGCATCGTCGACGTCGGCGATGCGTCGGCGACGTCGACGTGAAGCAAATTGGGCTCCACATCGCGACGCATCGGCGATGTGCATCGGCAATGCGGCGCGATCCTCCGACCCCATCTTCTCCGACCCCTAAAGCGTCGGCGGGAAAATGATTCTGAGACACTAAAATGCTCCGATCTGGAAAAACTCGAGGAAAACACACCACCTGCGGCAGGTTCGTGTCGTGTCGACCCCCGCGTTGGTTCCTGACACCGCGGTGATCGCTCGACCTTGAACGATCGGCCGCTTCCGACACGTCTGACCGGTCAACATCGACCGATTCTGAGCCGCTGGCGGCGGTCAACGTTAAACGCCAACGGCGGGGTCGCCGCTGGTCGACACGACGCGAGCCTACCGTGATGAGATCGTGTGCCGCGCGGCCCTCCACGGGCTCCTCGCCCACGGGCCAAACGCCACGGCCCACGACGGCGCGCGGCGCAGGGAGCGGGCCACGCGCGCGCATGGCCCAGGCCTTGCCCAGGCAGTCCCGGATCTCCTGCTCGGTGGCCTTGAACGGGAGGTTCGTGACAAAGACCGTGCGCTTGTTCAGCGCCTCTCGACAGAAGCACCGCTCCTCCTCCTCCTCCTCCTCCTCCTCCTCCTCCTCTTCCTCCTCCTCCTCCTCCTCCTCTTCCTCCTCCTCCTTCTCTCCTCCTCGCATTTATCGCTCCCCTTCCTCCTACTCCATCTCATCGCTCTCCTTGCCCTCACCGCTTCCATCTCCTCTCATGCCCAGCATCGTTAACAACAACAATCAAGACAGGATTAATCATGTTGAGACTGCTCGCTTTCAGATGCTCGCGTGTCGTTCAAAATGTAAATCCCAAACCCTCAGTACCACCCCTCTTCGTCTTCGATCGAACCCCCTTGGGGATCTATTTTCTTGACCTGCCACGAATATATTTGGCGGAGCCCTGAAGCACGAGAGGAATTGGCAGGAGGGGATTAAGAGCAAAAGTACAAGGAGCTGAACCAGACCCGCTGGTCGGGCGGGCGGACCCTACAGGGCGGGTCGGGCGGGCGGGCCCAGACGGCTGGGTCGATCGGGCGGGTCACTGAAGCATCAATCAAACAGCAATCGCGGAAAAAAATGTCTGATAGCAAGATTCCCACGTAAATCGCAAGGAAGGCCAGAGCGAGGACGCCATCCCTGAATGTCGTCGGCGCGGCGTTTCAATAAGTTGCGAGGACATGCCACGCGAAAGCGCGATTCCTGGATAAATTGAACGCGGCGAGAGCGCGATGTTCAATAAATAATGAAGAAACATCGAGCCGGAGACGCTGTTGTGGTAAACCAGGGGCCGAGGGCACAATCTGAGGCGCAAAACTTCCCCTTTTAACGAACGTGGTGCGAGCCTCAGGAGGAGCATTAGTTAAAGAACACCATGGGCACCGGGGGGGATCAACAATCATTAAGTGTTTAGAAATATGAAGTCGGCAACGACAATGATTTCAAGACTGTTCGCTCACATCTGCCCGCGTGCCATTCAACATGTCTATGCCGAACCCGAGGTATCCACCCTCCTCATCTTCGATCGTACGCCCTGGGCTGAATTAACTTCCTTACCTGTCACGTGTATCTGGCGCGGTCCTTGAGGCAGGGGAAAGGAGGACGGATGGACGGAAGGGACAAGGGCGAGGGAGAAGGACAGAGCACGAGAGAGATTAGCAATAAGGGCGCCGAGAGCAAAACACACGTGGCAGAACCAGACGGGCAGAAAGGGCGAGGAGACCTTAACGGGATGGTCAGAAGGCGGGCCCTGGCGGCCGGGTCGAGCAGGCGGAATGAAGAAGCGTGAGTCCTGTGTGAATTGCGAGGAAGTCTCGAGCGATAGCGCGATTCCCAATCGAATCGTGGAAAAGCCAAAGCGAGAGCGTGAATCCTGAACCTCGAGTGCGCTGCGTGGACGTAAATCGCGAAGAAGTATCATGCGAGAAAACGTTCCTGCATAAATTCTGGAGAAGTCCCACGCCAGGCATCATCATCACCATCATCATCATCATCATCATCATCATCATCATCAACATCATCATCAGCAGCAGCATCATCATCATCAGCAACATCATCATCATAAACATCATCATCATCATCATCATCATCATCATCATCATCATCATCATCATCATCATTATCATCATCATCATCATCAGCAGCATCAGCATCAGCATCAGCATCATCATCATCATCATCATCATCAGTATAAGCATCATCATCAGCAGCAGTAGTATCATCATCATCATCATCATCATCATCATCATCATCATCATCATCATCAGTATCAGCATCATCAGCATCAGCATCAGCATCATCATAATCATCATCAGCATCATCAGCATCATCATCATCGTCAGTTGCATCGTCATCGTCATCGTCATCATCGTCAGCAGATTCATCATTATCAGCAGCGTCATCATCATCATCATCACGATCATCCTCAGCATCATCATCACCACCACCACCATCATCATCGTCATCATCATCATCATCGTCATTACCATCTTCAGCATCATCAGCATCATCATGATCATCATCATCATCCTCATCATCATCGTCATCATCATCATCATCAACATCATCATCATCATCATCATCATCATCGTCGTCGGTATCCACCAGGCGCGGCGGCGGCGACCACAACGACCACAACAACCACGACCACGCCGTCGTCGCTAGCCGTCGGCGCAACGGCTTCGGTCACGACGGCGGCGGCGGCGACGTCGGCGACGACGTAGGCCCTCGGCGAGGCGGCGTCAGTCACGACGCTGACGTCGGCGTCATCGTCGGCACTCTCCGCGGCGGACGACGACGCGACGACGACGACGACGACGACGAGGACGAGGACGACGACAACGATGACGACGACGAGGACGACGACGACAAGGACGACGACGACGGTGACGACGACGACGAGGACGACGACGACGACGACGACGACGACGAGGACGAGGACGAGGACGAGGACGACGACGACGACGACGACGACGACGACGACAGCGGCGGCGGCGGCGGCTGCGGCGGCGGCGGCGGCCCTCCGCGCGGCGGCGGCGGCGGCGGCGGGCGCGGGAGCCTCGGCGACCTTCGCCCGCCTGATGACCTCCCTGCTCACTCGCGCCACCGCCGCGACCGTCCTCGCCCGGCGCCCGCGTTCCTCCTCGCTTCTGCCTCTCTGCCTTCTGCCTCATACCTGCCACCCCTTCTCTGCCAACCCGTTCCTGCCCCATCCCTTCCCCCCTTCATGCCTTTCCCTCCCGCCTCGTTCCTGAAGCTCCGTGCGCGAGCGGCCAGGCCACTTCGTCTCGGCACGGGGCCGCACTCGCGTAGGAGCTCATTGAAGGGGCCCTGGGACACACAAATAAACACACACAAATAAAAGGATTCCCCATATTTTCCCATATTTTCTGAGTTTTTGTCTTCCCCCCACTTCCCATATTTTCCCATATTTTCCTGGAAGTGGACGATTAATTGTGTCTGTGTATTTTTTCCCCTCCTGACTCATGCGCGCTGCCCCCGCCGGCTAGGATTCGGCCAGAACTGGTGGCCGCGTGCGAAGAGCACTTCCTGGCCGGCGCCGTCGCAGCAGCCGACCGAGGCCACATCTTCACGCGTGCGCGCGGAGGCTCGGCTGTGCGGCCCGGGTTGGCTGCCGGCCTCGAATGGGCGATGCCGCACTTGCTCGGGTCTGTTGCCCAGCCCGCCATGGCGGTCTATTACTCCCAGATGCCCCTCCTTCTGTGCCAGGTTGTGATCGTGCCGTGGGTCACTCCGGAGCCCGTGGGCTTGCTCAGATGCTGTTCCCAGGTGGGTTGAATCGCCTGTAGCCCATGCTCCGCCGCCACTCCCAGCCAGGAGTATCATGTTGCCGCCGGCTACTTCGCCACGCACGTCGAAGCGCGCTCCCCCTCCGACGTCCGCACTGGGGCCGACGCCATCTTTTTCAAGTGCTGGAGCTCTGGTGCCTGCTGCTACTAGCGCTGCCAGAGATCGTGCTTGTCCACAGGCCGGCCCATCTGCAAATCTACTTGGTGGCGACGAGCAGTGCAGCAACGCCGAGTCTGGCACCAACTCCCCGCAGTGCTCCATGAGCACGGCGAACTCCGACGACCTCGCCTGCGCCCGCGCTAACAGCATGGCAGCCAGCGCCGTCGCCGGCTCCGACTACTTGTACTCGATAGCGGATTTCAATGACTCCGTCGTCCCTCCTACTGCCTGCCCAATCCTTTCGCGGAGGGACTTGCCCCCCCTAAAGGGGCCAGCGGCTTCCCCAGGTGCTGCGCCACCAAATGCTGCCACGCTGGCAGCGCTCGGCGCGCCCGCGTCTGCTGTGGAGCCGCGGGATCGGGCTCATCCTAGTGATTACGTACGTCGGCCAGGGGTCTCTGGTGCTGCAGTGGCTGATCGTGGCCTCCCTCGTGTCGCTGCCGGCTCCGGCCGCGACTGCCGCACCGCGCCCGACATCCTTGTGGTTGTGGAGCCGCAGGCAGCGGCCGAAGCTACTCGTCTTGCATCGTCTGGCGACGACATTATACCTCGAGATTGCGTCTCTGATCGTGATCCGCCTCTCGAAGTGTGCAGTGAGCGCGTTGTAAAGCTGCCCTCCAGCGGGCCGCCTTTTCGCAAATACGATGTGGAGTTGGGAATGAGCCTGCAGTACATTCTGTCTGCCATTCGCCAGCCAATTATCAGCACAGTGCGCGAAGAAATGTATGTGATGCATTTGCGTAGGTGGGTGCGCCCAGGACGCCCTCCTGTTCTTTCACCTCAGCTGCGGTTTCCGCTCATCGACGTCGATGCAGCGCATGCTAGACGAATTGTGAACTCCCGCTTCCCCCGTAGACGGTGAGGCGTGCGGAGCCTCTCTTCAGTCCAGAAGAAGCTAGCAGCTACAGACTCTTGCCGTTGGCAAAGCTAGGCTAGTCAAATATTGATCATGCTCATAACCTATGCAACACCTGCACCTACGTCGAGCTAACGCCTACATACGCACGTGTGCCTTCCTGGCTGACTTGGTGCCCATAGCCGAAAATCCCTCGCTGTCCCAAAATATTATGCTTAGCTGCAGCGCCGCCAGTGTCTGACAGGGTTTCTGCTTCGTCAGCGTCGCAATCCAAAAATCCTCATTCCTGCCTGCTCCCCCAAATCACTCCTGCCTGCCCTCCTCAATAGTCCGCCTCATAAATCCACCTCCCTCGTATTCCTCGTCGTCCTACGCCTGCTCCCTCTTTTCCCTTGGACCTCCTGCCTCCTCCTCCTCCTCCTCCTCCTCATCATCATCATCATCATCATCCTCCTCCTCTCCCTCCTCCTCCTCCTCCTCCTCTCTTCCTCTTCCTCTTCCGTTTCCTCCTCCTCCTCCTCCTCCGGATCCTCACCATCACCACCACCACCAGCATCGTCATCATCATCAGCAGAATTAGCATCATCATCATCATCATCATCATCAGCATCATCAGCAGCAGCATCATCATCACCATCATCATCATCATCAGCAGCAGCATCATCATCAGCAGCATCAACAATATCAGCAGCAGCATCATCATCGTCATCATCAGCATCATCATCACCATCACCATCACCATCACCATCACCATCACCATCACCACAACCACCGCCACCATCACCATCACCATGATCACCATTACCATCACCATCACCATCACCAGCATCATTATCCTGATCCTCATCATCATCAGCAGCAGCATCACCATCATTATCACCATCACCATCACCATCACCATGACTAGCAACATCCTCATCATCATCACAATCATCAGCATAACCATCAGCATCATCATTGTCATCATCATCACTACGATCAGCATCATCACCATTGTCAGCATCAACATCATCATCCACATCATCATCATCAGCATCATCATCATCATCATCATCATCATCATCCGCATCATCATCATCATCATCATCATCATCAGCAGCAGCATCATCGCCATTGTCATCGACATCGTCATCGTCATCGTTATGGTCATCGTCGTCGTCATCGTCATCGTCAGCATCAGCATCGTCAGCATCGTCATCATCATGATGATCATCACCAGCAACAACAACAACGACATCATCACCACCACCATCAGGCAGCAGCAGCAGCATCATCAGCATCAGCATCAGCATCATCATCATCGTCATCGTCATCATCAGCATCATCACCCTCGGCACCATCCTCACTATTATCATCATAATCGTCATCATCACCAGCAGCATCATCGTCGCTATCAGCATCAACGGCCCCAAAAAAGAAGCCCCAAAGACTCCCAACAGGCCCCCAGGAAGCCCCAAGAGGCCCCCAGGAAGCCCCCAAGAGACTCCCCAGAGGCCTCAAAACTGCTTCCCAGAAGCTCCCTCCGAAAAGACCCCAAGAAGCATACATGAGGACTTTGACCCTCAACCCATGGACGTCTCGAAACTCTGCTGGAGCTCTCTTGAGCTATCTTGGCGCTCTCTGGGGCGGTCTATCGGCTCTCTTCGAGGGGGTGCGAGCCACATCTCAAAAAATCTGCACGAAGACCTTCCTGCCTGCCACAGCCGTACTCCCTGGGCACGAACACACCACCACGCAGCCACAGGGATGCGAAATGGACCGGCTGAATGAGCGAAGCGATTAAATAAGAGGAGGAGGGCAGAGGAGTAAGAGTACAAAGAGGAGGAAGAGGAGGAAGTGAGTTCTTCTGTGATGCGCACAAGGGGGACACAAGGGAAAAGATAGAGAGAGAGAGAGAGACAGAGAGCTCCGTCTGGGAGAAATCTCCGCTCTCAGGGGAGGAGGAGAATTGGTGGGGCCTCAGGGGGCACTTTGCCAGCCTACCCACTGAAGGCAGTGGGACACCACGATTAAAGTGTGAGCGCCACCCTTCGAGCTAGCCTGGCACCAGCACGGCACCGCGAAACCAGAGAGAGAGAGAGAAAGAAAGAAAGAAAGCTCAAAAAGTTCCTCCTCTAGCGTCCTTACCTGCGTTGTGGTGTGCGTGTGTGGGCAACCGCATGTACGTTTCTATGTGTTCCGCCTCTGACGCGTGCGAAAAGCGAAAGAAAAAGAAAGAGAAAGAGAGAGAGAGAGGCGAGCGAGAGAGAGAGAGAGCAACCGCTTGTCCTTTCGTGGTGCGTGAGGGGGTGAATTGCGTGGCGAGTTTGCATTGCATTGCATTGCATTCGAAATTGCGTGTGGGTGGTTGTATGGGTTGTGTTTGTGTGCGGTTGCATTGCCTCCTCTGCGTCCGCCTCCTCTGCATCCAAATCCCCCTCCGAGGCTATCATGTGTTGTGCTGCGTGCGCAAAGGGGGGAGAGAATTGGAGAGAGAGAGAGAGAGAAAGAGAGAGAGAGAGGCAAAAAGAAACAGGAAGAGAGAGAAGGAAGGAGGGAAAAAGCAATCGCTTGTCCTTCCGTGGTGCGTGGGGAGTTGAACTGCGTGGCGAGTGTTGCCTTGCATTGCATTCGCGGTTGCGTGTGGGTGGTTGCATGGGTGGTGTTGTGTGGGCGGTTGCATTGTAATGTGTGCTTCCACCTCCTTTGCATCCACATCCCCCTTCGAGATGATTCATTGGTGCTGCGCGCGCAAAAAAAAGGAGAGGGAGAGAGAGAGAGAGGGAGATCGAGAGGGAAGGAGAGAACAATCGCTTGCCCTTCCGTGGTGTGAGGGGGAAGGAGAGAGCAACCGTTTGTCCTTCTGTGGTGCGAGGGGGATTCAATTGCGTGGCGAGTGTTGGATTGCATTGCATTCGCGATTGCGTGTGGGTTGTTGCATGGGTCGTGCTTGTGGGCGGTTGCATTGCATTGTTTGCTTCCGCATCCTTTGCATCACACCCCCCATTCGAGATTATTTTTCTCTGTTGCACCCTCAAAATGGGAATAGAAAGAGACAGAGAGAGAGAGAAAGGGAGAGAGAGAGAGAGAACAAAAAAGAGAGAGCGAGGGAGGGACAGAACAAACTACTTCCGCCGTGGGACGTGGGGGGGTGAATTGCGTGGCGCATGTCGCCTTGCATTGCATTCGCGGTTACGTGTGGGTTGTTGCATGGGTGGTGTTGTGTGAGCGGTTGCATTGTAATGTTTGCTTCCACCTCCTTTGCATCCACATCCCCCTTCGAGATTATTACTTTATGCTGCGCGCGCAAAAGGAGGGAAGAGAGAGAGAGAGGGAGATAGAGAGGGAAGGAGAGAGCAATCGGTTTGCCCGTCCGTGCGTGTGGGTGGTTTCATGGGTGGTGTTTGTGGGCGGTCTGATTGTATCGTTTACTTCCGCCTCCTTTGCATCCACATCCCCCTTCGATGTGAGTATTCTCTGCTGCACGCGCAAAGGGGAATGGGAAAGGGAGGAAGAGAGAAAGAGAGGGTCGCTTCTCCTCCCGTGGTGAGAGGGGGTTCAATTGCGTGGCGTACTCCGCCTTGTATATTCGCGGTTGCATGTGGATGGTTGCATAGGTTGTGTTTGTGGGCGCTTGCATTGCATTATTTGCGTCCGCCTCCTTTGCATCCACATCCCCTTTCGATGTTATCATTCTCTGCTGCACGCGCAGAGGGGAAAGGGACAGGGAGAGAGAGAGAGAGAGAGATAAAAAAAAAAGAGATGAGGAAAGAGAGAACAATCGCTTGTCCTTCCGTGGTGCAGGGGGATTCAATTGCGTGGAATTGTTTGGCCTCTCCCATTGCATTCGCGGTCGCGGCGTGCTTGTGATTTCGAGGACCATGGTGGGGATGGCGTTGTTTGCGAAGAAGCTGGCAAAAGCTGGCGAAGAGCAAGAGAACCCAAGAGCGCAAGAGCGAAAGACGAGAAGAAAGGGAGAGCATCACGACGAGCAGGAAACAGCTGGAAACACGCACACAGGATATGAAAACGACAAGGGGCTCTGCCATCCCCCCTTGCCTCCGACGACGGCGGCGGCGGCGACCTCGGCGGCGGCGGCGCCGCCGCCGACGCGAGCGCGGTCCTCGGGTCCTCCTCGACGTCGTCGTACGACGCTGGCCTCCTGGCAGGGCCCCGCCCCCGCGCGCGCGCCCACGGCGTCCCGCGGCGGGCACCGGCCGCGGCCACGGGAGGCCTCTCGCCCGCGGTCGCGGCGGGTGGGCCGGGTGCGGGCCGTATGGCCGCTGGGGGAGCCCCAGCCTGGGCGGCCTTCGCGGGGCGCTGCGTCGCGACTCCTCCTCCTCCTCCTCCTCCTCCTGGTCCTCCTCCTCCTCCTCCTCCTCCTCCTCCTCCTCCTCCTCCTCCTCCTCCTCCTCCTCCTTGACGCGAGATGGGCACTGCTGTGATGCACCGCAGCAAGCCGCGCGTGCAGCAGGACGCGCTGGCACGACAACCGAGGAAGGCCGCCGAGGGACTCGGAAGCGCGCGGGGAGAGGAGGGGGAGGAGAGAGGACAGAACGGCCGAATGGCATCCATAGCATAAGGGTGCTCAGTTGTGTGGACAACGTCTTTACACCTCTGAAGTACACGAGCTGGGCGCTGCTGTAATGGGGGCCGGAAAAGGAGGGGGGGGGGGGGGGGAACGTGCAACTGTCGTGCCCCTCTTGGAAAACCCAAGGGGGGGGGCCTCTGGGGCACAAAAGGGGCACATGTTCTTCACCTCCCCCGTCCATTGCCACCCCCCTCATACTGCGCAGCGCCCGAGCGAGGGCGTCGGGGGGCGGGCCAGAGCTCCGCGCCGAGACGCCCAGGGCACGCATGGCTCTCGTCGAGACCGCCGAGGGCGCCGCCCTCGCCGGCGCCGAGGAGGCGCTGGACGCCACGGCGCGCACGGTCGCCCCCCGAGGACCCCTGCACTGCGCCGCCACGCAACAGGAGGAGGAGGAGGAGGAGGAGGAGGAGGAGGAGGAGCAGGAGGAGGGGGAGGGGGAGGGGGAGGAGGAGGAGGAGGAGGAGGAGGAGGAGGAGGAGGAGGAGGATGCGACTTAGAGCCGAGACGCGGTCACAGCATCTCGTGGGACACACGGCACGCGACTCGGGCACAGGGGGGAGACCACAGGAAGGAGGGAGGCGCGCGGGAAGCGGAGGCCACACTCAGAGCATGCAGTGCTTGCGCAGACGCCGGGAGCGCACGACGGAGTGCGGGGCGGTGCACGCTGAGACTGAGGTGGAGGTCCACGAGGCCGGAACGTGGAAGCCGGTGCCAGCTTCGCGGGACGGAATGCGACAAGAGAAAATCAAAAACACGCCACGCCAGCGTGAACCCCAGAAATACTTTCGCGCAGTCTGCGGGATGCAGCTTGCGGAACGCATGCCAAGAGGCGCCATCTTCACAGAGTGCATTCTGAAGGATCCCTCGTTTTCTGGGCTGCTCCTGCGCATCCGAAAACGACCCGACCAGACCATGAGCAAGAGCACTCAAGTGGGTCCAGGTTCGGCCCACTTGTGTGCCTGTTGCTGGTCTTGGCGACGCGAAGCGCAGCTGCTGAAAATCACCCCGCTCGGTTGGAAAACCGCCGAAGACACCCGAACACTCTCCGTCGAAGCCCGTAGCTGGGCGTCGAAACAGGCACGGAAAACATGGGCACGAAGCTCAGCAACAAATATTGTCCAAGACTAGCAGTCGACGCTAGTGAGCAAGCGACCTTCTGTCTCAAACGGACAACGCCCGCGGCGACGCCGATGGCGAGCCCTGCTCGAAGTGGGCAGGACCTGCCGCCCCCGATGGGCGAACACGCCCGGCGTGAGCAGAGCGCGACGCCTGGCCGCCAGCTGACACGGCCACCGCCATCATCCATCACCCTCACCCGGAGGCCTCCCAGATGGGGTCGGAGTAGGTGGGGTCGGAGGATGGCGCCGCATCGCCGATGCATCGGCGATGCACCGCTGATGCATCGGCGATGCAACGGCGACGTCAGCCGTGCATCGGCGACGTCGGCGTTGAGAAAACGGGGCCCCACATCGAGCCGCATCCTCGATGCATCGGCGATGCGGCGCGATACACCGACCCCATCTACTCCGGCCCCATCTGGGAGGCCTGGATCACCCTCACCCCTCCCTTCGCCACCGCCGCCGCCGCCATTGATTCCTGATCACCATCATCAAGGGGCCCAGGGACACACAAATAAATGCACACAAATAAAATGATTCCCCATAATTTTGCCTATATTTTCTGGGTTTTTGTCTTCCCCCCCACTTCCCATATTTTCCCATACATATTTTCCTGGGAGTCGACGATTAATTGTGTCTGTGTGTTTTTCCCCCTCCTGACATCAGCACCGCGCCACGCGGTCGGCACGGCGCCGCCCCACTGCTGCGCCGCCGCGCGGCCGCCGGCCCAGCCGAAGGCGCTCCAGGGCAGGCGTGAGCTGCACGTGGCCGATCAGGGCACGGCGGGCGGCGGGAGGGAGATGAGACGACGCCGGAGCGTTCCGGAACGCTCCGAGAGCGCTCGGGAACGCTCTGGAACGGATGTAGCATCGTCCTGGCCCCGTCCGAGGAGAGGAGCGCGGGGGGGGAGGAGGAGGAGCGCGCTCAGAACACGCAGCCCTTACGCGCGAGTGCCAGAGCGCGTGCACAGCGAGGAGGTGCGCGCGGCATCCGCGCAGAGGCGGCCGCGCGCCAGGGCTCGCCGTCGCCGCGCGAGAGGCAGCCAGCGGCGGGGCGCGGCAAGGGCGTGGCGATGCCAGGGTCAGGCGCTCCTATCCGGCGCCGCCGCGGCACGGCTGCCCGAGGCGGCACCCCCTGGCAGCGAGCGGAGGGAAAAGGGAGGGCGAGCGATCCTCCTGATGCTCTGTCCTGTTCCTGCCACTCCTCAAACTCCCCCTCCTCCTCCTCCTCCTCCTCCTCCTCCTCCCTCCTCCTCCTCCTCCTCCTCCTGCTCCTCCTGCTCCTGCTCCTGCTCCTCCTCCTCCTCCTCCTCCTCCTCTACCTCCTCCATCTCCTCCTCCTCCTCCTCCTGCTCTTGATCATGCCCCTGCTCCTGCTCCTGCTCCTGCTCCTGCTCATCCTCCTCCTTTTCATCCTCCTCCTGCCACTCCTCATCAAAGGAGAAAGAAGGGGAGAGGACGGGGAAGGACGGGGAAGGACGAGGAAGGGGGGAAGGCGAGGGAAGGAAGGGGCGACGCGGTGGAGGGCAAGGCCCCTGTGAGCTTGACAATTGTTATCCAACCGACTTGCGGGAATGAAGACAGGTCCATCAAGGTAAATCAACATGATCGAAGCAAGTCCAGGTAAAACGTACACTGCTGCAGAGATATCCAAATAAATCGGGCCCAGGGTTCAAACTCCATTCTTCTCCGCCTGAGCCGACCCAGACCGCCGGCTGGTCTGACATTCTTTCACATCCCCAAACCCTGGAATCGTGCTCTGGACCCCTCCGCCCTCCCCCTGACCCCAACCCTCCAAAGGAAAGCTGAGGGACCCGGCTGCTGCGGCCAAGCTGCGAGGGGGGGCACGGGAGTGGGCTGCAGACCAAGCGCGCTGAGCTCTCTGTTCACAATACCGGCCTCAAGACCGGAGGAGGGGGGGAAAAGAGGCAAAGCAAAAGGGAGAGGTAAGAGACAGGACAAGCAAAAAAATAGCATTGGGAGGAGTGGTGGCCGGAGAAAGAAACGGAGAGAGAGGGAGAGAGGGAGAGAGACAGAGAGAGAGAGAGAGCAAAAAAAAAACAGAGCGTACATATGTATATCTATAACTCACAGTAGGTCTACGAGCACACATATCAACAGAGGGGGACGCCGTCGGCCTGTGGCGACAACGCCTGTGGCGGCCTCCGAAGCAGCTGCCACCGCCGAAGCGGCAGCCTGCGGCTGGGCTGACGACGGAGAGCTGCCGCCTGGCGGAGGCCGCGGCGGCCCGTGCAAGCCCCCCCCCGGCCTGACGCTGGAGCCCCTGGACATTTGGCGCCGCCCCGCCACCGGCAACGGACCTTGGTGGGCTTGTTTTACACAACCACCACCACCACCATAAGTAGGAGGGGGAGGGGGTCCTCCTCCTCCTCCTCCTCCTCCTCCTCCTCCTCCTCCTCCTCCTCCTCCTCCTCCTCCTCCTCCTCCTCCTCCTCCTCCTCCTCCTTCCCCCCTCCAACTTATGATGGTGGTGGTGGAAAGCAGGCCCATCAGACCCAGCACCTCGCACGAAGCGTAGCCTGAAGCCATGTGGTGAACATGGCGCCACCCCACTGGCACTCGCCGGGGAAAGCGCGGAGGCGGCCGTGGATGTCAACCGCTTCACGGGCACCAGCCGCGTCAGGGGGCTCGTCGGAGGGCTACGCGGGGGGGGGGGGCACCTCGTGGGACCCTGGAGGCCTCCGTGAATTGCGCGGGGGCATCGGGAGACCTCAGGGCCCTCGGGGAAGTCACCTCGGGGGGCTTCAGAGGACTCCTCGGAAGGCACCTCGGGGAAACGCCAACGCATCGAGGAGGAAGCGCCTGGTGGCAGGGCCGAAAACAGTTGCACGCAGCAGACTTCGTAATGATTGTCCCCCCTTCCCCCATCCTTCCGTGCAAGCGACCACGTGTGATTTTAACCCCTGCAGGTCAGACTTCCGAAAAACCGGCCGAGGCTCTGAGTTTGAAGCATGTCGGCAGCCAACGGAGCCCTGACAGGGGGTGTCCGAGACCCCAGCGCCGATCGGAACCGCAGGGGCAGGGCTTCGCAGGCGGCCGCAGACCCTCGTCATTCCGACCCGACCCTCCCTGGCCTGCCAGGGGCGCGTGGGCCCGAGGAGTCGACTGGGGATCGACTGCAGTCGGACCTAGGCCAGAAGAACATCCTTCAAGAACATCAGAGCCTCCGTCGGCCAAAACAAACAGAACATCCAAGGGCGCCCTCCCCGGGGTGCACATGAGCATCCAACAAGCACGAAGAACACTAGGGTACCCTCCCCGAACCGATCTCGATCTTATGCCTCGGTCCGACTGTACAGACATGGTCTACCCCAAAGCTGATTTGTTCGTAGAATCTGCGGGAAAAAAGAGAGCGACAGTAGATCCACAAACGCTGTACGTACGCTTCGGCAGCTGGAAGTTTGATTCTGGGGCAAATCAATTCCGCAGTCGACGTCCTACTCGGAGCAGGAGGACCCAGTGCCAGGGTCAGGTCGGGCATGTCCCTCCTACAGTTATGTTGTTCCCATCGTATTTAAGGACCACATCCCAAAAATTCGCCGGCCCAACGGGCCAGAGGCGTCCTAAGATCTCCGGTACTTGGTTAACAATAACTCTATACTTCGCGCGCGCAGAGCGGCCCCTGGGGGTCCCCGGCCGGAAAGTACCCCGGCAAGGTCCCGGAACACTCCCGGCAAACTCAGGTCAGAGATGGTTTTCCTCCTGGGTGCGGTCTGCCACGCTCCCCGGAGCGCGCCAAGAGGGCCCCAACAGGCTTCCAAGACGGTCCAAGAGGGTTCCGAATCACCGAACGATCGGCCCAAGACGCCCAACACGGCCTCAAGACGGCCCAAGAAGCTTCCAAGACGTCCCAAGAGAGCCCCGACCCTTTCCAAGAGAGCCCCGAGAGGCCAAAATCATTGATTCCCATTGGGTTTTTCAAGGTTTTTGGCTTCCTCGCCTTTTCACGTTCCGACGCTCCAAGACGGCCCAAGAAGCCTCCAAGACCACCCCACGACGGCCCAAGAGGCCTCCAAGAGAGCCCCAAGACCGCCCAAGAGGGCCCCACGACAGCCCAAGAGGCGCCCAAGACGGTCCAAAAGGACCCCAAGAGGGCCCCAAGAGGGGCCCAACATGGAGACCACGATCCGAAAAATCCGAGCCTTCTGCTCCAAGAGGCCTCCTGGAGGCTCCAAGAGGCCCCCAAGAGGCCCCAAAAGGCGACAAGGGGCCCGAAAGAGACCCCAAGAGGCTCGACAACGACTCCCGAGAGTCTCCAAGAAGCCCTCGAGAGGTATCCAACGAGATCCCAATGAACGTCCACGAAGCCTCAGAGCGCCAAAACAATTGATTTCCATTGGGTTTTTCAAGGTTTTTGGCTTCCTCGCCTTTCCGACGCTCCAAGACGGCCCAAGAAAATTCCAAGACCACCCCAAGACGGCCCAAGAGGCCTCCATGAGAGGCCCACGACCGTCCAAGAGGGCCCCACGACAGCCCAAGAGGCGCCCAAGACGGTCCAAAAGGACCCCAAGAGGGCTAAGAGGGCCCCAAGAGAGGCCCAAGATGGAGACCACGAACCGAAAATCCGAGCCTTCCGCTCCAAGAGGCCTCCTGGACGCCCCAAGAGGCTCCTGAGAGGTCCCAACAAGCGACAAGGGGCCCGAAGAATGCAAAAAGGAAACTGCAGAATGTTGTCTTGTTCCCTGCGATCGTATTCACGAGCCGCCACCTTCCGAAACAGAAGGTTCAGGCGAGCAAAGAATGGTTCCCGCCTGCGAAATCACCCAAAGCCAGCCATCCATAAACAAAAAACGACCCAGCAGCACCCCATTGACAACGATCACACGGGCACTCGACAGCCTTGCACCAATACGGGCCGGCGGAATGAGCGAAGCGATTAAATAATTTCGAGCACCCAGAAATTGTCGAAACAGTGTCGAAGCAGTGTCGAAACAGTGTCGAACGAGAGTCTCCCAGGGCCCGATACGCAAAAATCCTCCAAGTTCGGTACTCTCTTGGTGCTCGACATTCTTTCTGGTGGTCTAGGCCAAAGCAGGCTGGAGCATCATAACCCGACAGGCGGATTGTGGACGAATAACTAAGAATACTCAAAAACGAATATCCCAAAAGTAACACACACACACAAACAAACAAAAAAACATGCTACTTTTGGACTATGCTTGAATATTCCTCCTGTGGAGGGACAGGCCCGACTCAGTGCCAGGGGGCGGCCACGGACCCCTCGCCCGTGCAGCCCGCGACACCATGCGAGCGGCCGAACGCCCCCGCCCCGGCCGTGCCGCGGCCTGCCGCTGCCCGCGCGCCGGGGGCGGCCGGCGGCTGCGCGGCGGCCGCCGCCGCGGCGGTCGCCGCCGCGGCGGCCGCCGCCGCGGCGGCCGCGGCGGGGGCGGCCGAGGCGGCTGCAGCGGCCTGCGGCGCGGCGCCGCGGGGGGGGGGTGTCGAGGGGCGGAGGCCCCAAGAGGCAGAGCTCGACGTTGCCCCACGGGTCCGTGGGCGGCCACTTCGGGCCGCCGACGCCCCCCAAAGACGGCCCCCGGAGCTTCCAGGGTCGCCCCTGAAAGACAGCCCCAGGGGCCCCCGGGATGCCCGCAGAACGGCCCAAAGGAGGGCCCGCAAGACGGCCCGAGGCCGAGCTCCCAAAGGCCTGGGGAGGGGGGTCGGTGAGCAGCCCTGGGGGGCGTTTTTGGGGGAAAGTCGGGGGGAGGCGCCCGCCGCGGCCGAGGCGTGCGTTCGCCAGCGGAGGCGCGCGCGCCAGCCAGCGTTGCACAGGCAAGCCTTCTACCAAAAAGTGTGATGGTCCGCCGCCGCTGCGTCGGTCTGTGGCGGGGCCGAGCAGGGAGAAGAGGAGAGAGGAAGGAAGGAAGGAGGGTGGGAGAGAGGATGGAGGCGGGAGGGCGACGGAGGAGGGAGCAGGGAGCTAGGAAAAGGAGGGAGGGGGAAGGAGGGAAGGATGATGAGGGAAGGAGTTGATGGAGCAAGAGCAAGAGGAAGGAAAGGAGGAGGAGCAAAGGGGGGAGAAGAAGGCGGCCGGAGACGACAGCGAAGACGAAGACGAGGGCGAGAGCCAGAATAAGCGGCAGCACCAGGGGGCAGACTAAAGAGAAAAGTAGGAGACGAGGACGAAGAGGACAACGACGACGACGACGACGACGACGACGATGACGACGACGACGACGGCGGTGGCGGCGGCGGCGGCGACGGCGGCGGTGGCGGAGGTGGCGAGGCGAGCGGGCGCCCGCGCCCTGGCCCGCCCTCAGCGGGAGGAGCGTTCGGGGAGGGGCCCCGCGGCGGCCTTGAGGGCGTCCCGCAGCGAGGGCACGGCCAGGCCCGCCTCCACGCCCGCGCGACACGCGACGCGCGCTGGGGCGGCGGCCGCGGGCGGCGGCCGCGGGCGGCAGCCGCGAAGCCTTTCGAGTACAGTATTCGGCCTGACCTCAAGAACGATAGATAAGGAACGAAGCCCCCTTTTTCCAAGTAAGTCCAAGAAGTCCGAAGGAACACAAGGGGGGCTCGCCGCCAAAAGGTAGCGGAACGCATGCAAACCAAAGGAACGGCCGAGCCCCTTTTGAAAGGCAAGTGTTCCTTATTCAAGCTGGACCCTGTACGGCAGGCGGCGGCGGCGGCGGCCACGGCAGCGGCCGCGGCCTGCCGCCGGCGGGGACGGCGCGGGCCGGGGTTCCCCTTCGAGCCCGCTCGGCCGCCGAGGTGGGCAGCCGAACGGGCTCAGCCGCCGAGAGGGTCGCGGGCGTCGAGCCCGCCAAACCGCCGAGGAGGCTCGGACGCCGAACGGGCTGTGACGAGAACCCTGCGGTTACCAGCCTCGAACGTATCCCTATCCCTGAAATTAACACGCCCAAAGGCGATGACAATCTTAGGGATTCGCCCTCAAAACTTATCCCGGCAAAGCAACCTAACAGCGATGTGTAGGAGCATATCTGGAAGCATTCCCCTTAAGATTCAGATAAGAATCCAGTTGTAGAATTCTGCTGTTCTCGCAGTCGTAGTCGCATTCGCGATGACAGTCGCAGTGGCAACGGCAGTCGCAGTCACAGCCTCAGCCTCAGCCTGCCTCAGCCTCAGCCTCAGCCTGCCAGCCTCAGCCTTCAGCCTCGCCTCAGCCTCAGCCTGCCTCAGCCTCAGCCTGCATCAGCCTCAGCCTCAGCCTCAGCCTGCCTCAGCATCAGCCTGCCTCAGCCTCAGCCTCAGCCTGCCTCAGCCTCAGCCTCAGCCTGCTTCAGCCTCAGCCTCAGTCTGCCTTCAGCCTCGGCCTCAGCCTCAGCCTGCCTCAGCCTCAGCCTGCATCAGCCTCAGCCTCAGCCTCAGCCTGCCTCAGCCTCAGCCTCAGCCTCAGCCTGCCTCAGCCTCAGCCTCAGCCTGCTTCAGCCTCAGCCTCAGTCTGCCTTCAGCCTCGGCCTCAGCCTCAACCTGCCTCAGCCTCAGCCTGCATCAGCCTCAGCCTCAGCCTCAGCCTGCCTCAGCATCAGCCTGCCTCAGCCTCAGCCTCAGCCTGCCTCAGCCTCAGCCTCAGCCTGCTTCAGCCTCAGCCCCAGTCTGCCTTCAGCCTCGGCCTCAGCCTCAGCCTGCCTCAGCCTCAGCCTGCATCAGCCTCAGCCTCAGCCTCAGCCTCTCAGCATCAGCCTGCCTCAGCCTCAGCCTCAGCCTGCCTCAGCCTCAGCCTCAGCCTGCTTCAGCCTCAGCCTCAGTCTGCCTTCAGCCTCGGCCTCAGCCTCAGCCTGCCTCAGCCTCAGCCTGCATCAGCCTCAGCCTCAGCCTCAGCCTGCCTCAGCATCAGCCTGCCTCAGCCTCAGCCTGCCTCGCCTCAGCCTCAGCCTGCTTCAGCCTCAGCCTCAGTCTGCCTTCAGCCTCGGCCTCAGCCTCAGCCTGCCTCAGCCTCAGCCTGCATCAGCCTCAGCCTCAGCCTCAGCCTGCCTCAGCATCAGCCTGCCTCAGCCTCAGCCTCAGCCTGCCTCAGCCTCAGCCTCAGCCTGCTTCAGCCTCAGCCTCAGCCTGCCTGCAGCCTCTGCCTCAGCCTCAGCCTCAGCCTCAGCCTGCCTCAGCCTCAGCCTGCATCAGCCTCAGCCTCAGCCTCAGCCTGCCTCAACATCAGCCTGCCTCAGCCTCATCCTCAGCCTGCCTTCAGCCTCAGCCTCAGCCTGCTTCAGCCTCAGCTTCAGTCTGCCTTCAGCCTCGGCCTCATCCTCAGCCTGCCTCAGCCTCAGCCTGCTTCAGCCTCAGCCTCAGCCTGCCTCAGCATCAGCCTGCCTCAGCCTCAGCCTCAGCCTGCCTCGGCCTCAGCCTCAGCCTCAGCCTGCTTCAGCCTCAGCTTCAGTCTGCCTTCAGCCTGCCTCAGCCTCAGCCTCAGCCTCAGCCTGCAGCCTCAGCCTCAGCCTGCTCAGCCTCAGCATCAGTCTGCCTTCAGCCTCGGCCTCAGCCTCAGCCTGCCTCAGCCTCAGCCTGCATCAGCCTCAGCCTCAGCCTCAGCCTGCCTCAGCATCAGCCTGCCTCAGCCTCAGCCTCAGCCTGCCTCAGCCTCAGCCTCAGCCTGCTTCAGCCTCAGCCTCAGTCTGCCTTCAGCCTCGGCCTCAGCCTCAGCCTGCCTCAGCCTCAGCCTGCCTCAGCCTCAGCATCAGCCTGCCTCAGCATTCAAAATGTGGCCCGGGAATGGAATTCTGGGAACTCGAAGAACACGAAGTGGCCTACAGTTGGCTCCGGGCATTCAAAATCATGCCCAGGAATGGAGTTCTGGGAACTCGAAGAACACGAAGTGGCCTACAGTTGGCTCTGGGCATTCAAAATCATGCCAAGGAATGGAGTTCTGGGAACTCGAAGACCACGAATTGCGTTACTGTTGGCTAAAAAAGGAATCCCCGGCATCCTCCCCCGGATCGCGCCCTGGGGCGTCATGATGCTCTCTTCTGACCCTACTAGAAGCCAATCAGTCTTCGCTGTTAGGTAAATAAGGGAATCCCTAAGATTGGCATCGTGATGAGGAGGTTAGGAAGGCACCAACTATACACCAACACCGATCCTGGCCCAGGATCACCCTGGGCCCAGGATCGGTGTATACGCCCTCCTGCCTTGGGCAAGAAGGCATATCCACCGATCCTGGGCCCAGGGTGATCCTGGGCCAGGATCGGTGCTGGTGTATAGTTGGTGCCCTCCGAGAGGTACCCAGCATAGGGATAGGGATCTGTTCCAGGCTGGTGACGTGGGGCGGGACTCGGGCGCTGCAGTCTGCTGACTCCATCTGGGCTCGGGCGCTTCCGCCCGGCCTCGGGCCCCCGGGGGCCCCGGGCAGGAGGCTGGGGCCGAGGGGCCCTGGCCCGGACGAACGAGCAGCGCACACCCATACGGTAGGTTTGCGTCGTGTCGACCAGCGGCGACCCCAGCGCGGGCGTTCAAGGTTGAACGCCGCCGGCGACCCAGAATCGATCGATGTTGAACGATCGGACGTTGCGGCAGCGGCCGATCGTTCAAGGTTGAACGATCCCTGCGGTGTCAAAAACCAACGCTGGGGTCGGCACGACACGAACTTGCCGTACCCATAGGGGAGTCGTTGGGAGGAGGACTGGCTATGGGTATGGGCGTTGACCGAAGGAACCCCAAATAAGGAACGAGGCCCCTTGTTTCCCATAAGTTAGACTTCGATCTCCCATCGAAAACATAGGGAAAATCTGAGGCAAGCTGCGAAACACTTTAAGGAACGCGGAGCCCCTCCCCAACCAAAAGGGTTCCTTCTTCAGGGACCCGACTGTATGGGTATGGGTGCGGGTTGTCGGACCCTGGGGAACGCTCCCGTTCGAGCGGGGACCCCCATCCGACAACACGCACCCATAGCCCTCTGCGACCCCTCTGTGGGTATGGGTGTGTGTTGTTGGTTCGTCATGGCCGCGATTGCTCACAAGGTGTTCAGCTTGTTTGCGACGCCGTGACCCCAAGGGACCTCTTGGGCCATCTTGGGCGCCTCCAGGGCCGTCCTGGGGCCCCTTGGACCGTCTTGGGGCCGTCTGGAGAGCCTCTTGGGCGGTCTTGGGGCGGTCTTGGTGGCGTCGTGCGACGTCGTGGTGAAGCGCCGAAGCTGGAAAAGTCGAGAACGCCAGAAACGACTCCCTGAAAACTCACAAATCATCATTGTATGTTGCCTCTTGGGGCCGTCTGGGGAGCACTCGTCGAGTCCTCTTGGGCCGTCTGGAAGCTATCTGGGGCCGTCCGGAAGCCACGCGGGACATCTCGAAGCCTTCTGGTGTATCTCTGACGCCGCTTAAGGCCGTCTGCGCGGCTCTCGGGCCGCCAGAGAGGGTCCCTGGCGATCCCGGAACCCCCATGGCGACACGAGGCACCTGGGAGAAGGCCCCTGACCCTGTAGTCCGATTGATATACATATTGATACACACACAAACATGTATCGATATAGCATGTGCATGCATGCATATTGAGGCCGATACGGACATGCATGCCAAGACATGCATAGTGATAACGATAGACATATAGTGATATCGACAGGAAAAATGGCGAGATCGATTGATAGCTAGACCAGAAGAGGTTGTTCGATGGGTGGCGATGGTTGTCCCGACAATTGTCCCGTCTTTGGTTCCATCCCCACCCCCACCCCAACCTCCTTATTGGCCTGTGGTCGGTCTCAGAAGACGGATTCGGAAGGAGGAGGAAGGAGAGAAGGATGACAAGAAGAATAACAAGAAGAAAACCATGTACGACAGAAAGGAGGAGGCGAAAGAGAAGGAGGCGGACGAGAAGCAGGACCAGGACACCCCCCTCCCCTTTGCGAGGTCGCCTAACCTCGCGCTTTGCGCCCCGCGCTGCACGACGCGCAGCTATCTTCGCGCCCTCGCGCCATCGCGCCGCCCTCACTTGGAGCAGGGCAGCCGCTCTGGCCCAGACCACGACGCGCGCGGCGCGATGGTCTTCGCGCCGCTGGGGGGCCGCTTCGGGCCTATAGGCGACCCCTCCTCCTCCCTCCCCCCTCCTCCTCCCTCCTCCTCCTCTCTCCTCCTCCCCCTCCTCCTCCTCCTCCTC